AATGCTAGAGCTTTCTACTATGTACAAAAATAACAGGTGTTAATATTTAACATTGAGATCTTTGTTTTATAAGCAAGCACACCTGCTCTAAGGCCCATAACGTGACCTAATCGGGTTTTGGCACATTGCAGAAATTTTCAACGAGTTCTGCGATGCACCAAATCTCGACTTTGTTAATAATTCTTAAGAACTAAAAGAGATCTTATGTCTTGTACACTTCGACTGTTCTACTTAATGTTTTTAAAAGCTCGCAAAGTTGTTTTTTATACGAGATCTTGTTTAGAGGAGTTACGTATTTCCTGACACAGAGCATTCCATAATTTTTCTAAACTTTTAAAACGTTATGTGGAATGTATCTCAAAATAGAAAGTTATAAAACGTAATGCTGCCAAAAAAGGCAAAACGTCGAAAACGCGACCAGCACACGGTAAGCGCTGGCTATTTTGTGTTTCTTGACTTGCTGTGGAAAAAAAATCGTTAACTAGGAGCGATCCGAGGAAGTTATCGCCAGCAATAACGCCGATGCTACTCCGCCTTTTCCGAAAATATTGTATTTGGATGAGGAGGGAGTGCAGGCTTGGGCCAAAGGGCAGTCGGAGCAAAGTGAGCCGTTCTTATCTCTCCCGCTTACCTTCATTCCTACTTATCAATTAGCTAAGCTATGTAATTATGCTTAGTTTTTTCATTAAAAATAAAATCCGCTCACTTATTCGTGTTTTGCTTCTTTAAAGCTGTTCCAAAGAAAATTGCGCAATGACGTTTTAAAGTTTGCGAAGGTTCAAAATAAATATTGATTTGGAAATTATAAGCTTCGAAAAAAGACTTCATTTTTTTTTCAAAAATTGCCTTTCCATATTGAAGACTTCACTTCAGATATTGAAGCCCTTTGTTGTATCCTCAATAGCTTATGTGATCTCCTCAGCTACCGATGCAATGAATCCATGAGACGGGTGGGTTATTGTATGACGAATGGGTGTTGCACAACTTTTGCAATAATTTTTCAATTCCTCATTTGTTTATTTGCAGAGTATTCTTTTGGAATTCTTGAAATGCATGTCGTTACATGGTGTTACCTTCCACTATATTCTCGATTCACGTGCTAGCATGTTTCTGGCCAGAGAAGAGTACAACGGGAAATATCCAGCTACAAATGATATCAACCAATTGTAAGTCATAGTCTATAAGTTTAGGTTATATGGTTATAGTTACCTCTGTCCTAGCGCAAACCGAATCCTCACAGTTTATGCTTTTTTTCAACATCAACATCTTTACATCGCTAGTGTTCATATTTTATTTAGTTTCCATAGCTTATCTGCTCTTGAATACGGTCTTCGCGCAGCTATCTGGTCATTTCACAACGTTCAAATGGGCATTCTAGCTCTCCACTCATCATCACCTTTGTAAGTTGTTCATCACTATCCCTTGAAATCATATTTATTCCTTAACTGATTTCGTTATCTTACACTCCACCCATTTTTATGTTTTTGCAACGAAATTGATGATGAAGTTCCATATTTATCGTTGTATAGTAGGCATGGATATGTAGTCT